ATTTTTTAATATTCAACCATAATTCACCACCTGATCACACCCAACCACAGCAGTGAAATCCTTAGACCAAAAACCTTGGTGTAATCCATGACTCCCCTGTGTCTCTCTCACCCTACTTCCAACTTGCCAGGAAATCCTGTCAATTCTACCTTCAAAATATGTCCATAATCTCCTATTTCCCACATCTCCACTATTACCACCCCAGTCTGAGTCACCATCATCTCCTCTTTACACTACTGCTATAGTTTATTAAAAATGGACTGCCTGCTTCCACCCTCTCCCCCAAAAATCTGTTCTCCACACATTTGCCAGAGTTGTCCTTGCAAAATGTAAGTCAGATCATGCGTCTGCAAAATCCTCCAATGGCTTCACATAATGACCCATTTACTCCTTGACCTCTTTTGCTACTCTCCCTCTTGACGCACTCTGTCCAGTCACAACCACCTCTTTGCAGTTGTATGTTACTTGCCAAGCTCACTCCTGTCTCAGGGCCTTTGCATTGGCTATACTCTCTGCCCAAAACACTTCCCCCGTACAGCCACATGAATAACTTCCCCACCCCCTCAAGTCCTTGTTCAAATACCATCTCCTACTTAAAACTACAATACCCACCAACATTTTTTACCCTGATTATTTTTTATTTTTCTGTAGTACATATTATAGAATATACTAGCATTCTGACGTATTACATAATTTACTCCTTTGTTACAATTATTGTTTACTGTCTGTCTCCATCCCACTAAAATGATAACTGCACTTGGATGGAGATTTTGCATCTGTTTCACTCACCTGGCATAGTGTCTGGCACACAGTTAAATAAATAGTTGTTGAATGAATGATGAAAACAAAGTACACATTCACAGAGCAACTCTCCCCAGTCCCAAACTCCCTGCTTCTCTGGGCTTCAAACCTAGGAGGAGGGCAAGAGGGACTTTTCTCTAAAAGGTTCAGAAAGACTAGATTTTTAAAACAAAGTAAATATATTAAATTAGAAGAAAAACATAAATTTTGGAGCCAGAAAAATCTCAGTTTTGAATCCTCATCATACCACTTAATATCTGAGTCTTTGGGAAAGAAATATAACTACTACTGTTGAGTTCTATATCACCTCCTCATAAAGTAATTGTTAGAAAAGCACCTAACACCAACTGGCCACATGGGTCCTTCCCCTTAACATTTTGGCCCAATAATAGTGACCCAAAACCACTGTAGTTTTTTTTTTGACCTGGGAATATGAAAATTTGAATCTCATTGATCAGCCTTCAACTAAATGATAAAGTTATGATTTGTGGACTTTTAAAGTATACAACTGAATAAATATTTCAGTCATAAACTGTAAGCTTTCAGAAATATTTCCTTTTTTAAGTTAAATAAAGATTTTTGCAAATGAATCTGATACACTGATGACCTCAAGCAGCTTCATTGGTGTTATGTATTGTTGGACACTTGGTTTCACTTTATGACATGTAGAGAAATAAATACGGCAAGACTTAGTTATTCTATCCAACAATAAAGAAATAAGAATTTTCTGTCAGAGTTTAATAAAAATTTTTTAAGTTTTGCCCTTTTTGAAGTTTTGTTTCTTTATTTTATAAATTTCAGGACAATAGATGTAAATGGGGAAAAATATGCCATTTGCTTTTGTTATTTATTTTCATCAACATTAAAATTGAAAGCTCCTTAGAAAGCCAACATAGAAAAGAAGGGAAATCATAAGAAATAATACAAATGTCCATCAACTAAAAGTTTGGTTAAAGAATTTAAAATAAATCAATGAAATGGAACACCGGGCAGTAGATAAAGAGACCAAGTGGATCTGATTTTATCAGCGTGGCAATGTGTTTCCAACGAAGGAGAAAAAACATCTGCGATATACACCCAGTGGTGGAAAATTACAAGTTCTGTGCTCTGCTTCATAGTCTCTAGTACTTCCTCACTCTTAGCACTCAAGATCCTTTATTGTTATTCCTTGGTTAATATTTAATGTCCCTGCCAGACTGTGTGCTCAGTGAGAGTGGGAACCCTAACTTTAGCCCCAGCACCTACACCAGTATGGGGCACATGATGGTCAACGGGGACCTGTTGAACCAGTGGGCAGTGCCTTAATAGAAGGAAATAAGCTGGATTTGAATGATCTCTGCTTCCTTTCCAAACTGCTGACAAATCATCTGTTTAATCATCTGTTTAGAATTTTGCCTAGGATTATCATCAAGCCTATACAGTTTACCATTTTCCAGTTTATGAGTGTCTGCCTTCTTACTCATTTTGGTTCTCAGTTTGCCTCACCTCCCTCATTAGATTGTTCTGTGTTGTTCATTCTGTAATGCTCAGGAAAATACTCTGCTCCAAGTGGAGGCCTTGAGAGTTATGGAATGATTTGGTAAGCATTACCTCCTAAGAGAAGAAAAAATTGGAGTTAGGATAACTTTATAACAACCACAACCAATCCTTTCACGGGCCAGACACGTGGTTGATTTTATGTCAGTTACCTCTTTTATTCGTCACAACAATCCTCTGAGGGAAAAACTGTAAGTCCCATTTTACAGATGAGGCACCTGAAGCTTCAGCAACTTTCAGGGACTCACCCTGGGCCACCCAGTTAGTAAGCAAAAGATCCAAGATTGGAACCAGTGTTTAGTAACTCCAAGGTCCGTGCTCTTTTTTTTTTTTCTTTTTAAACTTATTTTTATTGTTGCAAGTATTACAAATGTCCCTCCTTTCCCCCCCCCTTGACCCCCTTCTCCCTACTCTCACCCCTCTCCTGCCTTCCCTACACTATTGCCTGTGTCTATTGGTTATGCGTATATGCATATAAGTTCTTTGGTTTCTCTCTTCCCACCCCACCTAACCCCTTCCCTTTGGGGTTCACCAGCCTATCAACTGATTTGTACTTCTTAATCCCTTCACCTTTTTCACCCACCCCCTCCTTCCATCTGGCAGCCAATAAAAAGTACTCTGTATCTATGAGTCTGTTTCTGTTCTGCTTGCTCGTTTTGTTTGTAAATTCAATGGTTGATAGATATGTATTTATTGCCATTTTATTGTAAATATTTTTTAATCTTCTTCTTCAAGGAGACCTGTCAACATTTCATATAATACTGGTTTGGTGGTGATGAACTCCTTTAGCTTTTTCTTTATATGGCCATAGTATCTAAATGATGGCTTTGCAGGATAGAGTAATCTTGGTTGTAGGTTCTTGCTTTTCATCACTTTAAATATTTCTTGCCACTCCCTTCTGGCCTGCAAAGTTTCTTTTGAGAAATCAGCAGACAGTCTTATGGAAGCTCTCTTGTAGGTAACTAACTGCTTTTCTCTTGTTGCTTTTAAGATTCTCTCTTTGGCCCTGGCTGGTTTGCTCAGTGGTTAGAGCATTGGCCCGCAGACTGGAGAGTCCCGGGTTCGGTTCCCCCTAAGGGCATGTACCTGGGTTTCAGTTTGTCCCCTGCCCTGGTTGGGTTGTGTGGGTGGCAACCAGTTGATGTGTCTCTCTCACATTGATGTTTCTCTCTCTCTTCCCCCCTCTCTCCCTCCCACTCTATCAGAAGATAAATGCAAAAAATGTCCTTGGGTGAGGATAAAAATAAATAAATAAGATTCTCTCTTTGTCTTTAACCTTTTGCATTTTGATGATGATGTGTCTTGGTGTGGACCTCTTTGGGTTCATCTTGTTTGGGACTCTCTGGGCTTCCTGGACTTGTGTGTCTGTTTCCTTCACCAAGTTAGGGACGTTTTCTGTCATTATTTTTTCAAATAGGTTTTCAATTTCTTGCCCTCTTTCTTCTCCTTCTGGCACTCCCGTGATGTGAATGTTGGTACACTTGAAGTTGTCCCACAGGCTCCTTATACTATCCTCATTTTTTTGGATTCTTTTTTCTTTTTGCTGTTTTGAATGGGTGTATTTTGCTTCCATGTATTCCAAATCAATGGTTTGCTTCTTGGCTTCACCTACTCTACTATTGATTCCCTGTAAATTATTCTTTATTTCAGTTAGTGCCTCCTTCATTTCTGACTGGTCAAGGTCCATGCTCTTAATCACTTGTGACTATCCCCTCCCACTCCCCCAGCAGCTGACAGACAGTCCTCTCAGGAAAAAAACTGGGTATAGATGTACCATGTCCATCTTATTGTAATTTGGTGCACAAGAAGGAGCACTGGAAGATAACTCGCTAAGTTAATCCCCCAAAATGTTTGTGTTTGTTTTGACAGTGACCATGACGGCTATTAGAGGAGATAATTTTCTGACTCTGCTGCCTTGGGCTCCTGCACAAAAGCAGAGCAGAAGAAGCCATAAACTCTTATCAAACCCTATGAACAGCCTCTTTAAACTGCCTGGATCATGCCTTTAGATAATGCCCTCCCCATCCTGTTTGGATTTTTTAAGTAAGTAAGCTCCACAGAGGGAAGCAGGGTTGACTATTTCCCAGACAGATTCTTTCTCTTATGGAGGGAGACTCATATACAAAAGTAAAGAAAAGGTACAAACAGGAGAGAAGATATGAGGAAATTAAAAGAATAATGAAGGCCTGACCAATGTGACTCAGTAGACTGAGCATCATCCCATGGACTGAGAGGTCCTGGTTCGATTCCTGGTCAGGGCACTTGCCTGGGTTTCTGGCTCAATCCCCAGTGGGGGGGCCTGCAGGAGGCAGCCGATTGATGTTTCTCTCTCACACTGATGTTTCTCTCTCTCTCTCCCTTCTTCTCTCGCTAAAAAATCAATAAAACCATATTTTTTTTAAAAAAAAGAATAGTGAAGGCATTTTTGTGCACAGTCTGACTCCAAGGACAAGTGAATGAGGCTTGGCTGTCATTACAAAAAACTTCTGGTTGAGAAATACTTTCTGGTATTTCCTTGCTGATTTCTTACCCTCACACCACAGGCCCTGACCACTGTGGTCTATTATGCAAATGCAAATTACCTGACTCAGGGTGCTGGTGACTCACCAACTCCCTTTTAAATCTCCGCTGGGTTCCAGTAGCCACTGCTCAGGGTAGAAGCTATGGCTCACAGGCACTGCTTCTCCTACTGGCTATTGGCCTGCTGGTTGGTGGTAACTGTGGCAGAAGGTAAGTGTTTTGTGTTTATTCTACCATGGGCCCACTAATCAATCAGTAAGTTGTGTGAAAATATGAAATTTGGGTCCATGTTTATACATGTCCATAAATTGAAAATATTTATGTCAGCTTCCACCAGCCTGTGTAGTTAAAGAATAGGAGGCTGAATTTTATCATCTGGAGACCTCAGTCTTAGTCTCAGCTCTAGCTCTGTGACTTCAGACATACTTAACCTCTCCGATATCAGTCTCTTCATATATGAAGTGACGGTACTAGTAATATGCTTTGTTATGGGGGCTGTGAGGACCAAATGAGCCATCATGCAAAAAAACAATTCGAGCTTAAAACACTATACGAACACCAGTCACCATGGTTCTGACGCTGACCATTCACCACCCTGGATTACAGTGATGCCCACCCCTTTCTACCCCCAGAAGCATGGTAATTTGCACACGGTGGGTGTTTAGTCTCTCTTTTTTAGTTGCTTTAATTAATCATATCTCTTAAGCTGTGTTTTGGTGCCACTCAGGTGAGCATAGATTTCTTTCTTAAGGATTATATTAGATTCCATTTCTCCACTGTCCCTATTCTTTTTTCCTTCCTCCACTATGGAATTTCCAGTGGCCTGAGCCTTAGACGTGGCTTACAACCCCTGAGGAAATGAAAGAGAAGGATGGGCAGGAGGAAGAATGGGAAAGAGAGAGGAAGGAGATTCTGGGAGACCTGGGAGACGTCAGTCCCCTTAGCTTCAGAACTAGATACAGTTCAGGGAGTGGAGACCCAGGAGTCAAACTGAATCCTTCTACCTTCACATGCCTCTGGGGGCTTTGCAGGGGCCCAGCCAGAAGCTGTTCAGCCCCCAACAAGTTCTCTGCTTCCATCCCCCAAAGCTCAGAACAGCAGAGAGGGGCAGAGAGACCTTAGAGCTGGTGGAGAGACCACCAGAGCTCACCCTGTCCAAACTCTGCATGAATTCTGGTGATCAGAGGGCAAGGAAGTAGAGATTACCAGTAACCCTCGCCCCAATCTCTTCTTAAACCAAGGCCCCCAAGTATCACTTGCTAAAAGTGACATCTAAAGGAGGAACCATAAAACAGAACTAGCCACCTGACACTTACTTTCCAGAAATTGAACCATTTGTCAGGAAACGTGATGTGTAGCTAAACAGGTCATAATGAGAATAGAGGTTTTTTTACACATGCAGAAAACACCAATTAAAATGTGAGAGTCCTGGACTTGAACCACTCTTCCCCAGGTCCCTCAGACCGACACTGAAATCCGCAGAAGTGGCTCCACGCTGTCCTGGCCGCAGGGCTTCCAGCTGCTCGCTCACTCACACAGCCCTCCTCGCCCCCCTCTCCCTGCAGGCCGGGGTGCTCCCTCTCCGGGTCCCCTGTTCACTGCGGCTCTGCGTCACCGCCGATGCTTAAATGTTATTACAGCGTTGCCTTCACGAAGGCTTTCTTAGACACATCATTTCAAATGGCAATCTCTTTCTCTGACACCTTGGAATAATACTTACAGCAATCGGTACATGACCCGGGGCACTGACCCACGTGTTCGCCGTGTGCGCTTCCTGAGCTCGCCCGCCTTTCTGTCTGCGTCCGACCAGCACCTAACTAGCGGGCCACACTGGTGAAAGTGGCTGATTTAGAGCACAGAATTGAAACAGGCCTGGGCTCCAAATTATTTACCTGTAAAATCAGAGATTTGGCCAAAACAGTCAGTCATTTGGTGAGCCTACACGAAGAACTGAGTGGTAGCCCTGGCCGGTTTGGCTCAGCGGTTAGAGCGTCGGCCTGCGGTCCTGAGAGATCCGGGTTCGGTTCCCACTAAGGGCGCATACCTCGGTTGCAGTTTGTCCCCGGCCCTGGTCGGTTGTGCGGGTGGCAGCCACTGGATGTGTTCCTTTCACGTCGATGTTTCTCTCTCTCTCTCTCTGTTCTTCTCTCTCCCTCCCACTCTACCTGAACAAAAAAAAATGGAAAAATGTCCTCGGGTGAGGATAAAAAAAAAAAAAAAAAAATTGAGTGGTAGTTAACTAAGTTAAAATTAAATTGAGTTGAGTTGTGAGTAAATTAATCACAGGATTTATATTTCCCTCTGGTTCAATTCCAAAAGCATATGAGAATTTTTCTAAGCCACCATGTGCCATGTAAAGGAAGAACTGCGTACTTATAAATCAAGTATGAAACTTACTTCTCTTGAAGTCAGTCTAGTTCACTACAACCCAGCTATTGTCTGCCCAAATAACCACAGACTACAGGTAATTATATACACATAGATTAAAAAAAATCTTCTCATGCTTACTCTTTTTAAAAGTACTAGTTGTTGGTATGCTATGAGTTTTATGTCTAGACTATAATACACCCATTTAAAATTGATATCCAAACTTTAAGCAATATTTTGGCTTAATTTTTTATTTTACTCTAATTTTAAATGTAAGTTATTATTGTGAATTTTCTAAGACTGGAATTAAATATTCACTGAGCTTTACAAACATATATAGAGAGGAAAATCCGACATCTGCCTTGACATTCATTCAATGTATCAAGTGTGTACTGGGCACTCTAAGCCAGGGACTATTCTAGGTGCTAGGGACATAGCAGTGACCAACAGAGTCAATAGTCCCTGTCTTCATGGAGGTCCTGTTGCAATAAGATCTGTTTCCTTTACTCCTATCAATAGTGCACAGATTTTATGTAAAAAGTGTAACCAAATGGAACCAAGAAAATGGGGCTCCTGCTAACAGAATCTTTCTATAACACTCAAGATTAATAATAATAGTAGCTAACACCTATTAATGCACACTGGGCATCAGGAGTGTTCTAAGCACTTTACGTATCTTATTCCAGATAATATAACAGACCAATGAGATGAGTTGTATTACTTTTTCCATTTTATAGATAAGGAAAAGAAGACTCAGAGAAGTTAAGGAATCTGTCTAGGGCCACACAGTTATGAAATGGAAGAAACCTGGTTCCAGAGCCTATACTTTTAAACATTATGCCTCTCAAAATGTTTTTAATCTGCATTTAAATATTTGACTTACTTTGGTCTGCATAAGGTTACAGAAGACCTCTCTTCTTTAACATGGAGTACCTTCGGTGATATGCCAGTATATTACATAATGAGAACTATTTGATTAATAATTACATTATCTCTGAGGTAGGAACAATGATAGAAACTGAGATTTCTGCCAATCGATCAAGTCTACTGTAGGCACTATGCTGGGAATGAGGTCTACAGAATGGCCAAGTAAATATTTCAGTGGAGGGAATATAACCCGTGAAGAGCAATCATATGACTGATGAGCATTATGAAAGTGAACTCATAGGATGCTATGGAACACACTGCATATTGCCTTAACACAGCCTCAGGGCTAAAGCCTCCCTGAAGAAATGAGACACATGAAATCTGCAAAGAAGTAAGCCAGGCAAAGATGGCAGGAAATGGTGCTCAAAGCACCTAGAACCAAATGTTTTAAAGCCCATAACCACTAATGACTTTTGCCAAAGTAGTTTTTGCAAAATGGAAAAGGCAGAGGCAGATTTCAATGGATTAAGTAGGTGTGTGTGTTCCGGGGGCGGGGGGGAAATAGAGTCAAAAGTATGCTAACCTCTCTTTGCAATGAGAAGAAGGAACCAAAGAAGTTCATGGAATATCACTGACATTTTTCTCTCTGAAATATGAAGCTATGATCTACTTAGAAAGGTAGAGAGAATTTTGAAGAGAATTCTTCAAATAAATGAAGAATGAGAATTTTGGAGGAGCTATAAGGAGAGTATTAAAAGTTTGGAAGGCCCAGCTGATGTGGCACAGTGGTTGAGCATCGACCCATGTACCAAGAGATTGCCTGTTCGATTCCTAATCGGGGTACATGCCTAGGTTGTGGGCCAAATCCCCAGTAGGGGATATGCATGAGGCAGCCAATCGATGTTCTCTCTCATCGATCTCTCTCTCTCTCTCTCTCTCTCTCTCTCTCCCCTTCCTCTCTCTCTAAAATCAATTTTAAAAAAAAGTTTGGAAGACAGTGGGAATTGAGTGGAACAAAGATAAACAAAATAGTTAATGAGCAGTATTCAGAGTTGGAGACCATGATTGGTATCAACCCACTCACTCAGAAGTACGGCCTTAACCTTGTAAGGAAGAGGGACAGTTTCCCAAATCAATCTCTATGACTCCCAACTTTAGAACACTTGTGCTAGACAACCAGTGACCTGAAACAGTAACAGTGTGTCTAGGCTGCTGGAAGAACAATAGTTTTATGTGATCCTCCCCACATTCTTAGGTTGGTTAATGAGACAAGCTTGTATCTTGACCTTGATCTCTCAGAAATTCCCAGAAGAGAACACTGAAAACTACTGGACATCCCAGAGTCAGAAAAAAAGCTGCCTGGCAGGCTCTAATGCCCCACTGTCAGCTGGAGGGTTTGGAGAGTAGCTCAAATTTTAAGAAAAGAGATGAGCACTGGGGTTGGTCTGCACAGCTGGAATGCAGCTCACTGCATGGCAGAGCTCAAGGCCCAGCTAAACCTGATCTGACAGCAAAGTGTCAACATGGGGATTACGAGTAAGGCTAGCTTCTCCCCTGGCAACTGGATCCTCAGCCAAAGGATTTTATATTACAAATATTCAGGACTGATCTAATTGTACAGGAGGAAAGAACGAGCAATGTGGGATTTAATCATCTTCCGTAGTTTGAAATATCTTAATCTAGTTTCAGTCATAGAATTGCAATACTCAGTAGCCCCTGTGGGTCTGGGAGAAAGGGTCAGTATTTCCTTCAAGAACAGACACCCATTCAAGCTAGTTTGAAGGAAATGAGTAGAACTGGAGGTGGAGGGATTACTATAAGGATTCTCTCCCAGACCCTTAAGTACAGCCAGCCCGGAAAGTCAGGAACCAAGGCTACTTTCATCTTCATTGTTACCACATGGTCTCTTGTCTCTTTCTCTTTGAGAGGCTCTCCCTCTTTTATACTTTCTATGGAAAGACTGGCTTCTCGGCTTACTCAACATTCAACTGGACAAACCTAACACTCCAGTCCCTGCCTTACACCTTCCACTAACTGATCTCTTTGTGGAAATTCTCAAGTAAGAATCTGACTGGTCAATGGTCAGCCAATGAATGAGTTGAGTGTCTAACAGCAATCCAATAAGCCATAGCCAAAGGTGTGCAGGGCTGACCTCTCCAGGGGTTGTGGGTGAAACAGAATTTCTGGAAGGGGTGTGAACACAGGCAGGCAGTAAGCATATCCAATACACCCAAGAAACCTGAACTTGGCTGTTCTAATGGTGAGGACACTCTAGCTCTTTTGAAGTGCCTCAGTACTCCCAACTTCTGTGGGGAGTTTATTTTCCCATCATTCACACTCAGCAGCCCTTTCCTGGCCTACCTTGGTAAATGGCTAAGGGAGTGAAGGAATAGTTTTCTCAAGGGAAGCTTACTTTTTTATAGCCAATTAGACTAGATGATACAACTAGTGGGAAGACCTTGACACTTGAAGGTCTTCATCCAAATTTCTTCAGAAACTAATGTCATCCTGGTCCTCAGTGCTCGTCCCCCTGCTGTATGCAGAGGTTCGCGCCCTTGCTCCTCGGGGAATGGTTCACTGCTGGGGCAAGTGAAGCAGGCCTTTTGGATTAATGGCCTGTTGTGGGGGTGGGGTAGTTGTTTTTATTTTCTTAATATTAAGTTCTTTTTTCCAACTAGTTGTCTTTATTTTGTTATAATTTATACACAATAAAATGTACAAATCTTTTAAAATTTAATTATTGAGGCGACATTGGTTAATACAATGATATAGGTTTCAGGTGTACAGTCCTACAACACATCATCTGTATATTGTACTGAGTGTTCACCACCCCAAGTCACGTCTTCTTTCATCACCATTTATCCCCTTTACCCTCTTCTACCTCCCCCGCCCCCCACCCCCTTTCCTCTGTTAATCACCATACTGTTGTCTGTCTATGAAGGCCTTTTTTTTTTTTTTTTGAGTAATCTCTTCACCTTTTTCAGCCAGCCCCCCACCCCCTCCCCTCTGACAGAGGTCTGTCCTCTGTATCTATGAGTCTGTTTCTATTTTGTTTGTTAGTTTATTTTGTTCATTAGATTCCACATATAAATGCAATTATGTGGTACTTGTCTTTCTCTGACTATAAAATGCACAAATCTTAAAGGTACAGATTGATCACATTTTATACATACATACATATATGTGTGTATATATGTATATATAAATATAAATGTATATGGGTGCATGTGTGTGGTATGTGTGTATGTATATATAATCTTTATCTTTGTATCTATGTAACAACCACCCAGATCAAGATCTAAGGAATTCCCTGGTTACTTTTCCCACTAAATAGCACCAACCCCCAACCCTAAGCTAACTATTTTTTTAACTTTTTTTTAAACCATAGATTAGTTTAGCTTGTTCTTGAACTTTACACAGATGGAATCTTTTGCTTAATATAACATCTGTGAGATGCATCAATATTGTTGCATTCAAGATTCCTCCTTTTCATTGCTGAGTAGTATTTCATTGTAGGAAAATACATAGTGTATTTATACATTTTCCTAATGATGGACATTTGTATTGTTTTCAAGTTCAGGCTAATATAATAAGGCTGCTATGAACATTCTTGAACTAGCCTTTTGTAGACATATGCACTCATTTCTCTTGGATAAACTCCCCAGAGTTCAATTGTGGAGTCATAAGGTGAGTCCATGTTTCATTTCACCGAACCCTGGCAGTTCTTCCAAACACACTTTGAGACCTCTCTATTTCTCCCTTCCAAGCTTGCTGCCCTGCTCCGCCCCAAGCATCTCCCTTCTGCTTTTGTTATCAGGCCTGCTTCCTGACTTGCATTTTCCTCCCCACAGGACAAAGGGTAGTTACCCCGCCCGGAGGCTCACAAAATAATGTGGATCCTACAGACTGCCAGATCTTCACACTCACCCCCCCGCCTGCCACGAGGAACCCAGTGACAAGGATCCAGCCCAGCACGAGGACACCGGCACGGACTTTCCCTTTTTTTCCAACACGGAGGCCCAGAGTCCACATTAGATTTCCAAACAGACCTTTCCTCCCGCCAAGGTGCAACCACCGTTTTCAGTTCCGTCCATTTTTTTGGCCAAACAGCCGTCTCACGCCACGTTATCACTATTTCCCCAGAAGAAGATTCCGGAGAGGAAGCTCATCCGAGGAAACCAGAGTGAAGAGAGAAGCCCCAAACCTGCTGAGGCAAAGGAAGTTAACACCTCAGAAAAGACTGTAAAAAGATTTGTGTCCTTTTTCCAAACTAAAACTATTGAATTTTAAACGTATCTTAAACACCACCGACTAGAAACCGTTCTCCTTGTCAGCAGTGAAGATATTGGTGAATATGTTATTCAAGTTTGCAGAATAGGAGCAACAACGTCACCATTCTCATGCCTAGCTTTTTATGATCACAGAATATTTGTGCAAATAAAATCCTAAAATGAGTGCTTCTAATCATTCCTGTCCATACTGAGATGCCAGAAGAATCTTTTCTAAATTAGAGCGAGGAGCGATTCAATAATCAAGGCCATTAAAAACTAAATGAAGACATTAATGACACCCTTTTATAGTCAGTGAAAGACTTACAGAGCAAGGTACATTTACAAAGTGGACTAATAAGAAATTATGGAAAACTGAAAGCTTTATTTAAAGCCTCTCTGACAGTGATATAAATGGTGGTTATTTATTCATTTACTATATTTTTATTCAGGTACAATTGGCATAACATTAGTTTCAGGTGTACAATGTAATGAGTCAGTATTTGTATATATTGCAAAAATGATCACCACAATAAGTCCAGTTAACATTGACACCATACATAGTTACATATTTATTTTTCCTTGTGATGAGAACTTTCAAGATCCAATCAGGTTTCTAACAACAACAGAAAATAAATTATAAAGATTAAAGCAAAACAAAGTTATGGGAAGCCTGACTATAGGTCATAAATTAAAGTCATCATAAACTAAATTACCTAACCCAAATTACCCAAAATTCTTTTTAATTGTAATATCTAAATGTGCTTTAATGTTAACTTTTTAAGCAACCAGCGCAAATTAGCTTGATAAGCACCTCACTTTCTCCCATCATCATCATATAGAGACTAGCTTAAATGATATACTTCCCCTAAAACTTTCAACATGGTATCAGGCTCAAAAGTCTGATTAAGTTTACATGGATGTTCTCAAATCCTAGACTTCACAAGCATAAGTTTACTCAACATAGAAACCTTGTATTCCGAGGGTGCAATATAAGTAACACAGCCCACAGGCTGCATTCATTCTTTAGCCATCCTGTAAAACACCACCTCCTGTCTGTGCCACTCATCTTGCCTGTAACATAGGATCTTTGGTTTTGCATATGAGTCTGTGTCTTACACCTGTTCCTCCCAAGAACTATGGGCACAAGTTTCTGCTGCTGCTGCTACTGCTGCTTCTACATGGAAAAAAAAAAAAAAAAAAGAACATAAAGATGTGAGGTCGTTGGGAATGCTGCCTACAGATGGAAAGAGACCGCTGCACTGTATTAAAAGATAAAAAAGGAAGAACTATTTTCTTCACTCACTTCAGAGCAACTTTTCATTATAAGAACAGATATTTATGAGAAGCTTAAATAAAACCTGTACTTGAAATCCTTATTAAGAAATTCTATTTTTTGTTAATAGCTTGTGTTTTGTTTGTTTGTTTGTTTGTTTTGCTTTCTTTTTGGTTAGTGGGGCATAAACAGAAAAGGGCCAACCTTGGGCAAACTGGAAGACAGAGAAAGGTTTGACAGAGAAAGATGTGAATCTTGCCTTTGTTAAATGACCCCCTTCTTTATCACTGCTCCCCACTCACTGCTCACTTAGGTTCTCAGTGCTCTTGCAGGAGCTCCAACTGTCCAAAACCAACCTGGCTTTGTCTGGGTTTTCTCTCCCCAAACATTAGAACTTTTGCAATCCAAGAGTTAACTGCTCTGAAATGAATCCCTGAAGGCCTTGCTACGTGATATTAAACATGAGGAAAACTAAGACAAACTAAAGATAGATTAAGCAGACTACTGCTGTAGTGTTTCATAGTGAAGTTCTTTTGCAAAGTAACTAGGTAAAATTGCATCATTTCTCACCCTGGAACATGAATAGTTGCCTATGGGAAAAGCAGCCCACATTGGCAAGTAAAAGCATATGCCTTTGTGACTTTTTGAGAAATCACATTCTTTGGGTTAACAAATTTTTCTTTTAAAGTAGTGATACCTATCAGGTTTGTAGCTCAGGTGTAGTCTTCAGTCACTAATACTTCAAAGTGAGCTATTTTATTAAATGCATTCCTTTTAGCATATCGGTGGGATTAGCCACTTTTGAAGCAACAGGAGTCTGTTGGAAGGGTAGGACAACTTTTAAATTCACCTTTTGTTTTGTGGTAAAAATAGCCTAAGCAACTCTAAAGTTCTAATTATGTTAAGGAGGCATAACCTGAATGCAATCATCAGACAAACCCAAATTGAGGGACATTTCTAAAACAACTGCCCTGTAATCTTCAGAAATGTAGATGTCATAATAGACAAAGTTTAAAGAAGCTTACAGAGACACAACAACTAAATGTGATCTCGGGAAGGGAGAGATTTGCCATGAAGAATATTATTGGGGCAACTGGCAAATTTTTAATGTGGACCGTGTGTTAGGTAATAGTATTATGTCAGTGTTAAATTTTCTGAATTTGATAATTAGGTAAGAGAAGATACATAAAAATATGAAGTATTTGAGGGTAAAGGATTATGAGTTCTACAAATAAATCTCAAATTGTTATGGGGAAAAGTGTGTGTGTGTGTGTGTGTGTGTGTGTGTGTGAGAGAGAGAGAGAGAGAGAGAGAGAGAGAGAGAGAATGGAAGAAGGGAGAGTAGGAAAGCAAACATTTGTACAATTGGTGTATATGGGTGAAGGTATATGGGAGTTCTTTGTACAATTATTGCAACTCTTCTGTAGTTTGAAGTTATTTCAAAATGAAAGTAAAATCAACACAGAGGGGTTAGTGACAGGGAGGGCCACCCTGGTTTGGTCGTGCAGGAAGAGGTGGTCAGTTAGGGCATGGATACAGATGGAGATGGCAGAGTAGGATTAGATGGGGGAGGGGAGCCCAAAGAGAAGGATGGTTGGAAAGGAGAGTAGATCTTGGGGAAACTATGCTGGGGGACGCTGCACTGACAGTGCTGCAGTCACCCAGGAGTGGACAGCAACACCCAGGCCAGGCTGTCCCTGCTGCCCACTGGAAAAGGGGAACTTGACCTCGGGGAGGGCGCTGCTCCTATGTGCACTTTCTTTTTTCTTTTCCTTTATTGATTTTAGAGAGAGAGGGAGAAGGAGAGAGAGATGGAAACATCACTGAGAGAGAACATCGATTGGCCGCCTCCTGCATGCCCCCCACTGGGGATTTGGCCCACAACCTGGGCATGTGCCCTGACCAGGAATCAAAACCAGCAACCTCTTGGTGCGTGGGTAGATGCTCAACCACTGAGCCACACCAGCCGGGCTCTATGTGCACTTTAAAAGCATTTCAGTTTGCCTGGCTGGTGTGGCTCAGTGGTTGAGCGTTGACCCGGTTCAGGATGTTTCTCTCTCTCCCTCTCCCTTCCTCTCGCTCTAAAAATCAATAAAGGAAAATAAATTTTTAAGCATTTCAGTTTGAGATTTTGGTGTGTACGTAAAATGAGATTAGATGCACCCTTCCGGGTTTATAAATCTTTTTTTTTTTCACTGAGATATTTTGTGATTGAAAATTCTGAGTGAGTGCAAATGCAATGATTTCTAAAGGAATTTTGTATGTTAAGCAATGCCTCATGAACACATCTTTTGTCTTTCCTGTGTTTGTGGTCAGTATCAATAACAGCAAAAGTTTCTACTTACTATTATCTTTTCACATGTCATCATAAACAAGGAGAACCAAATGATCTTTTGTGGTCGCTGTAAACTTACTGTAATGTTTGGTAACAAACAGAGTTCACGTACTCTTGCTAAGGTTAGAGCTAATAATCCATTGCCATCTTTAGTTTGAATGTTTCTTTGTGCTTTTTAAAGAATCCAGTTGTAGAGCAGAAACTATCAGCCAAAATCAGTTTGTGGGAATAAAAGCAAAATCTGGGGTGGGGCAAGGGGGTGGGAGGGTGGACCTTTATAAAATGTGGTCTATTTGTAAAAAATCAGGGAAAGGTCTGAAAACCCTATGTGTTAATACTTGTTTCTGAGTTGCATTTATTAAATTGATAAAGTATTACCATCATTTTTCTATGATGTCCCTCTTCCCCTTATATTTTACTTAAAAAAATGAAAATCCTCAATACTTTTTCCCTTGGGATTTTTCTGCCTTCTGGGTTATTTTGTTTATTTGTTTGTTTAAAAATATGTTGGTTCCCAGTTTGATTCTCCATCAGGGCACATACCTGGGTTGCGGGTTTGAGTCAGGGAACATGTGGAAGGATCGATGTTTCTCTCTCTCTCTCTCAGTATGTTTTCAGGTAAGGATTAAAAATAATAATAATACTTAGCCCTGGCTGGTTTAGCTCATTGGTTAGAGTGTCGGCCTGCGGACCAGAGAGTCCCAGGTTCGGTTCCCACTAAGGGTACGTACCTCGGTTGCAGTTTGTCCCCGGCCCTGGTTGGGTCGTGCAGGCAGCAGCCACTCAATGTGTCCCTTTCACATTGATGTTTCTCTCTCTCTCTCTTCTTCTCTCTCCCTCCCGCTCTATCTAAATAAAGAATGGAAAAATGTCCTTGGGTGAGGATAAAAAAGAAAGAAACAGAAGGTATGAGACCACATATACTTCCACAACCACCACTTGGGTTGAATTTGAGCCCAGGCGACACAGTCAGTGGTAAGCACCAGAAGCTGATAAAAATATCTTCAAAAGAATTTTAGGAGACGCTGAACATAGAGCTGCCACGGGGCCAGCATGACAAAGTGTGGCAAAGATTAGAGAAAGGGCCATTCTCCCCACCTCTGCCCAGAGCTCACGCCTCCGTTACCCCCAAAATCACAGCAACTTTTGAAAACTTGGGAAATAGCAAAATCCTGGTTTCACCACAGAGGGCACTGTCCACACAGCGGTGCTGGAGGCCTTCCAGGCTTTGTGGACAGGACATGTCCACAAGGGACAGCCGGACAGAGGAAGGACACGTGGGCTGCATGGCCTGCTACCGAAGGACTGGTTTGTGGCACATTTAAACACTGGTGAACTCTGGGGTTTGCTGATATCTGATAAAAATGAAAAATTAAGAAAG